CGCGCCGACGGGCGCGTGTCGGCCGAGGTTGCGACGCCGAGCCGCATCTCGAAGCGATCCGAGCCGACTCTCTCGAATGAGATGACGCGGTCGTAGAGCGTGCGCCAGCCGCTCCGCCGGTCGCCGTGAGATGCCGGCGGGGCACCTGGACGCGCCTCCTCAATCGCAAAGCCAAAGAGGAGGCGCATGCCGGCTGGGGTTGCCTCAACGCCGCCCTCTGCGAGCTCCCGCGCGCCCGCCGCGGCCTCGCTCCCGACCCCGACGGCGAAGCGGTGCTCGCGGAAGCCAAGCTCCGAGAAGTCGTGCTCCCACACCCGGCCGCGGGCGCCGCGTGACGCGACGACGAGGCTGTGTGCGAGGCTCCGCATCCGCTCGCCGGAGAGGTGGTGGAAGGAGAGGGGCGCGTGCTCCTGCGCCGAGGTGTGGAACCACAGCCCGCGCCTCTCGCGTAGCAGCGAGGCGCCAGCCCACACAAAGTACTCTGGCGGCTCCGTGTGCAGCCCGCGGTAGTCTCGCACCGGGATCTGCGTGTTGAGTGTCAGGCTGAGGCACTTGCCCACGCGCATGTCACCTGCCCAGCCGGTGTACTCGGCTTCGCAGCCGTCGATCCTCGGCCGCATGCGCAATAGCGCCGGCCAGCTCAGCACGTACCCTGCGCCGCCGTGCGCGTAGCCGATGCGCGCGCGCTCGTCCTTCCACTCGAGGTCCTTCCTCGCCGTGTGCTGGACGCCAAGGTAGGCTGGCGCGGCCGGATTCTCCGCCGCCAGTCGTCGCTCGAGGTTGCGTGGGAAGACAAATGAGTCGTCGTCCACAAAAAAGACCCAGTCAAAGCAGCCAAAGTGTTCCCGCCGGTCGTGAAGCACGCGCAGCGCTGGCAGGTTGCGCCATGCCCCAAGCGCGTGCAGCTCCTCCGCCTCCGACGGCTGCAGGCCAATCGTCGGCACGCTCGGGTCGGCGCGGTCACTGAAGAAGGCTATCGCCGACGACGGGCCGATCCGGCGCGCCCACGTCTGCTGGACGTGCGGCACGCGCGTCTGGTGCATCGCCGATCCCGTCAGCACGCCGTACACGATGCGCGGCGAGCCGGGATTGGGAGGGCCGCATTCGGCGAGGGCGGAGGTGGCAGATGTCGGGCAGTCGATTGGCCCCTCCATAGCCATAGCGGGAAAGTTGATCGACTCGGCGTTTGATCTCTCAGGGACGGACGACTGGAACTGACTGTGCTTTGACAGCTCTCTGGGAGCTGGGAGCGCATCGCGACACCGAGGGGGGCTGGGCATGATTCACCCACACGACAGGGTCCCAGGGATTCTCGTATAGGACAGGTTGCACCCGGCGGCACGGGGGCCGCAGGCGCGGGCCTCCTACTGACTGGCTGGTTGCGTGCGCTCTCCTACCGGTACGTAGTTCTCCTGCTCCTGACAAAAGGGACAGCGACAGGCTGCAGCACGGTGGACTCCTACACCAGCGACCTTCCTCCAGCTTCTCACTGGCAGCCTCTCACTCAGCTCTCTCTCACTACCACGCACGGGCACACCCACACCCACTGAATGAAAGAGGCGGCCGAGGCGCTCGCCGTGGGGTGGCTGGCAGGGGCGGTGGTAGGAGTCTCCCCTCTGTGGGCTTCGCTAAAGAAAGGTGCGGCCTGAGCGTGTCCTCGCCGTTGAGGTCTTGCTTGAGGAGAGAGAGAGGAGAGAGAGAGAGAGAGAGGAGAGAGAGAGAGAGAGAGAGAGAGAGAGAGAGAGAGAGAGAGAGAGAGAGAGAGAGAGAGAGAGAGAGAGAGATACATCGGTTCTGTTGCGTGTTGGCTGTTGGTGTGCCGAGAAAAGAACTATCGGTCGGCGAAGAAAGGGGGCGTGACGTGACCGA